TGCATGCCACGGAGGCGCTGCACTGAGGGGTGACCAAGATGGTGGTGCCAAAGGAGGGTATGGTGCGACAGAGCGCGACACGAGCAGGGGGCCGCTAGCTGACCTGACGCAGACGCAGACGCAGCTACCTGCGGAGACACAGTAGTCAGTGTGTACAGACTCAAGCCAGGCGCACGGGTGAACGTGGCCAGGTGCCGGCCAGTTTGGGAGCACGTACAGATCGCCACACGCTGTCCTCCTGGAGTAAAGGTGTCAACCCATACATCCTGAAGGACGGCATTGATCACCAAGTTCGTAGAGAACGAGGGGAGGTGAAGACCTGACAGTGAGCCAGACGGAACCGCCGGACACGGGAGAACAGTGGAGGAACGTGCATGGACTGGGCCCCCAGAGGGGTCAGCCAGAGAGACAGCAACAGGTGCAGGGAGCGGTGTGAGTGCGATACTGTCGCGAAAGAAAGAGCGGGAAGCACCTGAGTCAAGCGTAAAGGTGTGCAAGGCCTCAGCAGGCGCAGTACCAGAGAGAGCAGACTCACCAGCACCTAGAGCAGCAGACTCACTAGTACCTAGAGCAGCAGACTCACTAGCACCTAGAGCATCAGCCTCTATACCTGAGTCGGGCGGCACACACAGGTGACAGCCACCCTCAGCACTAACAGGCAATGCATACATGGCAGTGAGGATAGCATCATTGTCAAGAGCAAAGATATCCACTCTCTGCCTAAGCAGCTCCACCCAGCTGGGGAGCTCATCCGCGTCGCCAAACTCTGTACGCCAGGCGTCGCTCAGACCGGCGAAGCAGCGGGACTGTGTGTGACCTATTGTCCCGCAAGTCTGACCAGCCCAATCACCTGTGCGAATGACATACGGGTAGCGAGCAGTACTCCGAGACCCTCTACTCTGAGCGTACCACTCACGCAGCTGCTGGGGCGTAAGGGTCTCGCGCGGACGCCGCTGCAGCTGCATCTGGCCACCGCCAGAAACTCCCGACTGACCAGCTCCAGGGCGAGTGCCACTACGGCCGCCGCCACAACCCCAACTAGCGTACCACTCACGAAGCTGCTGTGGCGTGAGGGACTCGCGCGGACGTCGCTGGAGCTGTATCTGGCCACCGCCAGAAACTCCCCACCGAACAGCTCCACCTAGACTGCCACTACGGCCGCTGCCACCACTCCCCCTGCTGCCACCACCGCCGCCACCACTCCCACCGCTACCACGAAGAGACGTCATAGCGGGCAAAAGGAAGGAGATGTGCGACCAGCACGGCAACACGCAGGGAAGGCAGGGCGGCGAACAGGCACTAGGGTAGGTCGGGGCGGCGCACTGTCAGGGAAAGGCGGCGCGCGGCCAGAAGGGCGGCGTGTAGGCAGGGTAGGGTCGGGCGGCGGCCAGTAGGGCGGCTCGCGGGCAGGGCAGGACGGCACGGCGGCGAGCGGCGCGCGGGCAAGGCAGGGCGGCGTGGCAGCTAACGGTGCGCGGACAGGGCTGGGTGGCGCTGCGGTGAGCGTCGCGCGGGTAGGGCAGGGCGCGCGGCGGCTAGCGGCGCGCGGGCAGGGCAGGGCGCGCGGCGGCGAGCAGCGCGCGGGCAAGGCAGGGCGCGTGGCGGCGATCGGCGCGCGGGCAGGGCAGGGCGCGCGGCGGCGAGCGGCGCGCGGGCAGGGCAACGCGGCGGCGCGCGGCGCGCGGGCAGGCAGGGCGCGCGGCAGTGAGCGGCGCGCGGGCAGGGCGGCGCGGCGCGGCGGGAGGCGCGCGGGCAGGGCGACGCGGCGGTGCGCGGCGCGCGGGTAGGGCAGGGCGCGCGGCAGTAAGCGGCGCGCGGGCAGGGCGGCGCGGCGCGGCGGGCGGCGCGCGGGCAGGGCGACGCGGCGACGCGCGGGGCGCGGGCAGGGCAGGGCGCGCGGCTGTGAGTGGCGCGCGGGCAGGGCGGCGCGGCGCGGCGGGCGGCGCGCGGGCAGGGCGACGCGGCGGCGCGCGGCGCGCGGGCAGGGCGTTGGCGCAGCAGCGAGCTGCGCACTGGCAGGGCAGGGCAGGGCGTGCGCGGGCAGCGCGACGCAGGGCAGGACAGGGCAGTGCGGCACGAATAGGGCGGCGCGACTCGTAGGGTAGCGCGATTCGGTGGGCCCTAAAAAAACGGTCCTAGGCTAGGACCTGCTCTGAAACCATGTCACAAGTACGAACGAGAATGAATGAACTAGCAGCAAGACGGGTACAAGTAGCAAACCCTAATTGGTTTGTACCCCATATGGGCTACCCCACTATAGCCTACACAATAAGCAGCATATAAGTTTGACAATTTGTGCCGCACTAATTTAACCGCCCGCTGGTTCGACGTTGTTGCTTCGCTAGGCAAACGGTCGCACAACTAGTGTGGTGCTGATTCAACTTCGAGGGCTTGCATCAGCGAGCGCATAAGTTATGCGGGGCAGCATCAACACGCAAATTTCGGAAATGCATTTGGCTTTATGGGGCTTCGTAGCAACATCCACGCTGCAAATTTTGGTATCGTTCTGTAGGCATCACGGAGGGAAGGGGAGGGAAAACAGGAAGCTGCCTGCCTCTGCAATTTTAGGTTCGAAATGGCGGTCAGCCCGGAAAAGGCTGACGTGGCAGTCATTTCCCTTTCGAACCTAATCTAAAGGAAATGCCTGCAGAACAGTCATTTCCCTCCAGGGAAATGCACCCCCAGGAAGGTTCCTATTTCCCCTCACCACCTTCCTCCTCGGGCAAATTTATTTGCCTCCGCCCCGCCATCGGCCATCCACCCTTCACGGGGAAGTGCGACGGTGACGGGAGGGAGGAGCTGGGCGTGGTAACACCAGCCTCCCACCCAAGAAACAAGCTTCCCTGTACAGTCACTAACCCAAACAGGGTTGCAAATCTCAAATCGAAAAAGAAAAACACACACCAACCACCAAAGTGAAAACCATGGCGGCCTACTCACCACTCCTGTGTGTTGGGGTTTTTTATGTTAAAAACGCCCAGCCCCAAATAATTACCCTGGTCCTGCACTCGATAGTCACGAATTACCCCTCAATTGGGCGCGAGAAATTCCCCGAGAAGTTCGTCATTTTCCCTCGGAAACTACCTCCCCAAAATCCGAAATTTCCCATCTCGCATGTTTGCCCAAGGGGTGGAAATCGACCTCGGAACTCACCTCGGAACCCTCCTCATTTCCCTTCTCCCTCCCTCCTCCCCCAATTGTCAAGTGCCTACAGAACGATACCTTTAAAGCCCCAGGTCGGCATGGTTTTTGTGAAAATCGACGAATGGCTTTAACAGTGTTGGCGAAAGGCAAAAAACGGAGCGAGGGCCAAATCAGCTAACGAACAAAACTAGAATTCGTCACAGTCCTTGTGCGACAACTTACTCCACGAATATGGGAAGCAAGAGACGCCTCGAGCGCCAGAAAATGTGACACGATGGGCGAGATTGTGCGAGGAACACTTGGGAAAAGGGGAACCCCCTAGCGATGCAGGGCGAAAATGGCAGAGACCTGAGTGAGAATGCTCGCGACTTGGAGGTGTGGCATTGCAGCCAATCACACGTCTAAAAATACATCTGTGCAACAGAAGAGCATTTCGCACACATACAGAAAGGGACGAGAACAACAAAATAGCCTTGTGTTTCGCTCGGTGAAAAGGGATTGGTGCGCTGACAGGTGGTAGGTAGAAACCGGCACCAGCCGCAAATGCGACACGATAGCTCCAGCCACGTAATATTACGTGCCTGAAGGTGTTCAGGAGGAACTGATAGGTCCCTCGACTACCAGCCATGCTAGTTCTTCGGCAGGGTGATACAACAATAAAGCGCTCCGTGCGCGTGATACCGCGGCGCAGGAGAAGTCAACATACGTTTAGGATGAACGTTGGGAGTACGGAAAGAAGGAGGGTTTGAGTTTGAGAGAGATCGATCAGTGGGAGGCATACTCACACGGCAGCAAAGTGGCGGTCGAAAAGGTCTACTCTCTACGATGTCAAAGTAAACATCGGTAGAAGCGGAGTATCTGCGGCGTAAACAATCAGTGGAACTCACGATTCAATGCCCCAAAGCCTCCGACTTACGACGATAGTTCGCAGGACCAAAGCGACAATAGGCATGCGCTTGCGGTAGGAGGGAGGTAACGGCGCTCGCCAGGGAGAAGACTAAGAGAGGAGCTAAGAGTTATAGGGCGACGAACTGCACTACGAGCGTGACGCAACTAGAAGTTGTAAGCGGGTGACAAAGGGATTAGTATTGTCACCAGGTCGAGCGTCTTCAGTGACACGACGTGGTTTGAATTCTGCAGTACAAACATCTGTCGTTCCAATACCCGCGTGATTCACCGCTGAGTTTCACGGTGCACCAATTTGGCATTGACAAAACCCAGACAGTTACATGTGCACCAACGGGCATAACGGAAGCCGTCGTTGCTGTTGTTATCTCACAGAAAGCATGGGATAGATTGCAGCACAAAGGTCCCTGCAAGTCGCGACTGAGCTGTTGTTGTCGCAGTAACAGGCATCAAAGCCTCTATAGTCACAGCATGCCGAGGCAATTCTGCTACTGTCACGACAGGTGTCGGCACTACATCAACCGTCACAGCCATTGTTGTCACATGTGATTCATCACACAGCATGTGGTCAATGCTGCACATCGCAGAGCATGTGGGGTTGAACTGCTGCTCATGTCACAACACATGGTCACTGCTGCTCATGGAAGAGCATGTAATCATTGCAGCGTCATGTCACTTGTGGTTAGGCCCCCGTACATGCTCGTAGAGCATGTGGTCACTTCTACTCATGTGTCGCAGCTCGTGTTTACTGAAGCTCATGTCAAAACATGTGGTCATTCTTCCTTGGTTCAATGCATGGGATCACTGCTGCGAATCTCACAGCCTGTGGGCGTCACTGCTAATGTCACAGCCTCCATCTAATTGGGTTTGCATGCCTCACTCGTGCCGAGGGCACCGCAGCACTTGGTGCCGCAGCCATTTCAACTCCCCCACTTTCATCCCGTTTCCAGCGAGACAGAAGGACGTCGCACAGGACTTGTCTGTCATCCATCCATAAGGCTGCCACAGGAACAACAGCACATCGCACCCCCGCCTTGGCAGGTCAGTTGGCGCAAAGCTATTCGCAGCACTAGTTGTTACTGTGTTGATCTAGTGTTGATTTGCCGTCCAGCCATCACTGGTTCCTCGCGCATAGCGGTACTCGGCTCTGCTGCCATAGCGCAGCGATTGTTAGTCACACATCCCTTTCTGGTGCCTCAGGCTCAGCATTGACATATCAACCAACCCTGACTGGTACCGCATGCACATCATCACTTGCTCCTGTTGCCTAGCACACCGCAGGTGATGTCTGGCTGCGGTCACAGTAACATGCGTCACTTGTCCAGAAGTCTCTTCTGCCACGTCACTGCTGTTACTGTCACGGCATGTAAAGGGGGTGCTGCAAATGTCAAAGCCACTGTCGTCTCTGCTGCGACTAAACAGAGCATGCGTCATCACACTTACAACAACCATTGGGGGTTTACAGCAGCCTCTGTCACCGCATGAACGCGTCACTGCGGTGAATGTTGCAGCGGCTTGTGCTGCCCCTCCCTTTGCCCCGCGTTGGTTGTCTTTCACCTGGCCCTGCTGACTGTAAGGCAGCGGTGGTTGTCATTCCTCCCCACCCAGTCCACCCGCAGGCTACCTTAGGCACAGCACCAGCAGCCTATGCATTGCAATTCGACTCATTCATTCATCCCCATCCGCATGCAGGGCATCACCAGTTATAGCTACCTTGGCGCTGCTGCTGTTTGGCTTTTAGTGCCTCGCTTTTGTCGCAGGCACAGCAGCACGTGGTGGTGCTGCCTTTTTGCGCCTCACTTGTCTTTCGTCCCTTTCCCGTTTTACGGTTATGAGCAGGACGTGTTGCAGGGTGTCGTTGCACCGCTGAGTTTGTCTGTCATCCATCCATCTGGGCGGGAAGCAGGGCAGGAAGCACATAGCTCCGCTGCCTTGGCAGGTCAGTTGGCATCCAGCCCTCCCTGATTTCTCAGCTATCCTCAGCACACGGTGCTGCTTCCATTGCACAAAGTTGGTGTGTCGTACACCCATCACTAGTGCTGCAGGCATAGCGGTACTTGGCTCTCATGCATTTTTACTGCAGTTGTTTGTCAACCAACCATCCCTCCGTGGTGCCTCATGCTCAGCAATGCGAGGTGCAAATGCCTGTGTAAAACAGGTCTTTCTCAACCAGCCATGTCTGGTACTCCAGGCACGTCATCAAAATTGCCCGCTGCCTCCAAGCTGCTGAGGTTCTGGTTTGCATGCCTTGCTGGTGCCACATGTACAGCAGTACTTGGTGCTGCTGCCTTGGCGGATCAGCAGGCATTCATATGGGTCTGTTTATGGAGAAGCATAAGGACTTGGTGCTGTTGGCTTTGTACTCTGTTTTGCAGTCATCCATCCATATCGGCAACCTCCAGCACAACAGCACGTCGCTCTGCTGCCTTGGCAGGTTAGTTGTCATTCACCCCGCCCGGATTATATTAAAACCCGTAAAACCCGTAAAGGCATGTTGCGGCTGCCTTTGCACAGTGCATGTTTAGTGGTCCATTGATCACCGGTCCCTCGGGCATACCGGTACTTGGCTCTGTGGCCTTTGCAGTTCGGTTGTCTGTAAACCGTGCCTGTCTGGTACTGCATGCAAAGCATCACTTGGTCCGGCTACCTTAGCGCTGCTGCTGTGCGGGTATGCATGCCTCGCTGGTGCCGCAGGCACAGCAGCACGTTGTGTTGTTGTCTTTGCACTTCACTTGTCTTCATCTCTTTGCAGGTAGTTTTGCTTCAGCCGTTGCACTATTGAGATTGGGAATCATCCATCCCTCTGGGCTGCCACCGGCAAAACAGCACATCGCACCGCTGCACTGGCAGGTCAGTTGCCATCCAGCCTGGGGTGGTTTTACATCTACCTGTTTCACTAGTAGCTGCTGTCCTTGCTTTGCAAATGGTTTGGTTGTCGTCCATCAATTTCTGCTGCCTCATGCATTGCGGTAATTGGCTCTGGTTGCCTTTGCGCTGCTGCTGTTCGGGATTTGCATGCCTGTTCGGACTTGTTGCTACAGTCGTTGCATAAGGCTGTCACAGGAACAACGGCACATCGCACCACCGCCTTGGCAGGTTAGTTGGCACAGAGCTATCCGCAGCACCAGTCGCTGCTGCGTTTACACAGTGTTGGTTTGCTGTCCAGCCATCACTGGTGCCTCGCGCATAGCAGTACTTGGCTCTGCTGCCATGCCGCGGCGATCGTTAGTCGAACAGCCAACACTCGGGTGCCTCAGGCTCAGCAATGAGAGGTGCTGATGCCTTTGCACAGCATTGACAAGTCAACCATCCCTGGCTGACACATCATCACGTGCTCGTGTTGCCTAGCACACCGCCTGGTGATGTATGGCTGCAGCCACAGTACCGTCATCACCCGGATATAAGACAGTGTTGAATAGAAGACAGGGGGTGTCTATTATCCGGGTGTCTCTTATAAACGGGGTAGCCTCATTATAAGACACATATTTGTCAGTGTACGAGATAAGACATATATGTCTTATATCCGGGCGATGACGGTAACATGTGTCACTCACTTGTCCTAATGTCTCTTCTGCAACGTCACAGTTGTTACTCTCACAGTTGTTAGATACTAAGCTTGACCTTGGCTATGTTGTGTATGTTTGGTAGGGGATAATATCTTACACAGATAGGTACCATACAAGCTCATTTCTTCATCTCTTATTACGCGTAGGAGCTCGGGTCAACACTGAGATATGGTACACATCGGACACCTTGTAAAACGTATCATAACAGGTAAACCCAATTCAGCCTATAAACCTCCTGCACAAAACAAAGCACGGCCCACAAGTCGATCCCTACAGCCAGCTAACCCTGCCTTTTTGCGCCTTCCTCCCACGCCACTCCGCACTGACCATGCCGCACAGCACACTCCATTACCCCTGCCCCATAATCCAGCTTCAAAACAGTTGCCTGCAAAGTGTTGGCTGTCAGGCGTTGCAGACACACACGCATGCACGCACAGACACATGCAGACACACACACACATGCACGCACGGACACACGCAGACACACACACATGCACGCACTCACACACGCACTCACACACGCAGACACACACACACATGCACGCATGCACACACGCAGACACACACACATGCACGCACGGACACACGCAGACACACACGCATGCACGCACGGACACACGCAGGCACACACACATGCACGCATGCACACACGCAGACACACACACATGCACGCACGGACACACGCAGACACACACGCAGGCAGGCACACACGCAGGCAGGCACACACGCAGGCAGACCCTTATTCAGGCAAAATGCAGAGAAGGGTTCCGCAAGAAATGTGAGGAGGAATCTGAGGGAGGATATGACGAGCGGAAAGGTGGTGCGTGTGAGTGCCGTGGAAGGGGATGGGCGAATTAACAGACCCCTCACACAATGACCTGGCAGAACCACCTGCCATGACGTGGGAAATGCAACACGTCACAAGGAGGCACGGGAGGAGGAGCAGAGGGAGGAGCTGGCAGATGAGGAAGTAGGTGGGGATGGTCTCCTTGACAGCTTGCACGGCCCACACGTCACAGCTCAGCATGTGCGACGCGAACTCCCCCGTCGACTGCAGGGAAGGGGATGGGGGGAAGCAGGGAAGGGGATCGGGGGAAGCAGGGAAGGGGATGGGGGGAAGCACGGAAGGGGATGGGGGGAAGCAGGGAAGGGGATGGGGGGAAGCAGGGAAGGGGATGGGGGGAAGCAGGGAAGGGGATGGGGGGAAGCAGGGAAGGGGATGGGGGGAAGCAGGGAAGGTGATGGGGGGAAGCAGGGAAGGTGATGGGGGGAAGCAGGGAAGGGGATGGGGGGAAGCAGGGAAGGGGATGGGAGCACGGAAGGGGATGGGGGGAAGCAGGGAAGGGGATCGGGGGAAGCAGGGAAGGGGATGGGGGGAAGCAGGGAAGGGGATGGGGGGAAGCAGGGAAGGGGATGGGGGGAAGCAGGGAAGGTGATGGGGGGAAGCAGGGAAGGTGATGGGGGGAAGCAGGGAAGGGGATGGGGGGAAGCAGGGAAGGGGATGGGGGGAAGCAGGGAAGGGGATGGGGGGAAGCAGGGAAGGGGATGGGGGGAAGCAGGGAAGGGGATGGGGGGAAGCAGGGAAGGGGATGGGGTGAAGCAGGGAAGGGGATGGCGGGAAGCCGGGAAGGGGATGGGGGGAAGCTGGGAAGGGGATGGGGGGAAGCAGGGAAGGGGATGGGGGGAAGAAGGGAAGGGGATGGCGGGAAGCAGGGAAGGGGATGGGGGGGAGCAGGGAAGGGGGTGGCGGGTCGCAGGGTAAAGGGTGGGGGGAAGCAGGGAAGGTGTTGGGGGGAAGCAGGGAAGGGGATGGGGGGAAGCAGGGAAGGGGATGGGGGGAAGCAGGGAAGGGGATGGGGGGAAGCAGGGAAGGTGATGGGGGGAAGCAGGGAAGGGGATGGGGGGAAGCAGGGAAGGTGATGGGGGGAAGCAGGGAAGGGGATGGGGGGAAGCAGGGAAGGTGTTGGGGGGAAGCAGGGAAGGGGATGGGGGGAAGCAGGGAAGGGGATGGGGGGAAGCAGGGAAGGGGATGGGGGGAAGCAGGGAAGGGGATGGGGTGAAGCAGGGAAGGGGATGGCGGGAAGCCGGGAAGGGGATGGGGGGAAGCTGGGAAGGGGATGGGGGGAAGCAGGGAAGGGGATGGGGGGAAGCAGGGAAGGTGTTGGGGGGAAGCAGGGAAGGGGATGGGGGGAAGCAGGGAAGGGGATGGGGGGAAGCAGGGAAGGGGATGGGGGGAAGCAGGGAAGGGGATGGGGTGAAGCAGGGAAGGGGATGGCGGGAAGCCGGGAAGGGGATGGGGGGAAGCTGGGAAGGGGATGGGGGGAAGCAGGGAAGGGGATGGGGGGAAGAAGGGAAGGGGATGGCGGGAAGCAGGGAAGGGGATGGGGGGGAGCAGGGAAGGGGATGGCGGGTCGCAGGGTAAAGGGTGGGGGGAAGCAGGGAAGGTGTTGGGGGGAAGCAGGGAAGGGGATGGGGGGAAGCAGGGAAGGGGATGGGGGGAAGCAGGGAAGGGGATGGGGGGAAGCAGGGAAGGGGATGGGGGGAAGCAGGGAAGGGGATGGGGGGAAGCAGGGAAGGTGATGGGGGGAAGCAGGGAAGGGGATGGGGGGAAGCAGGGAAGGTGTTGGGGGGAAGCAGGGAAGGGGATGGGGGGAAGCAGGGAAGGTGATGGGGGGAAGCAGGGAAGGAAATGGGGGGAAGAAGGGTAGAGGGTCGGGGGAAGCAGGGTAGAGGGTGAGGGGAAGCAGGGTAGAGGTTGGGGGGAAGCAGGGCAGAGGATGGGGGTGACAGGGGCAGATGCCGGGGAGAGAGCAGGGTGGGAAGCCGGGCAGAGAATGGGCGGGAGAGGGACAGAGGGCGGCAGTGCGGGGGAGGGGTATACGTGACATGTGCGCGAGATGAGAAGGAAAAGGGAAGGCGATGGCGCCGAGCAGTGGAAGGCAGTGGAACGCGAGGGCGACGGGGAGAGAATTGACGGAGAAAGAGAGGGCGAGGGGGAGAGAATTCACGGAGGAAGAGAGAGCGAGGGGGAGAAAATTCACGTTGGAAGAGAGGGCGAGGGGGAGGGAGGGCGACGGGGAGAGAGGGAGACGGGGATTGCGAGGGTGACGTGGAGAGAGGGAGACGGGGATTGCGAGGGGACGAGGAAGGTCAGGCGATTGGCGGCAGGGAAGAAGAAGGGCGGGCGACGGGAAGGTGACGAGCAGAAAAAAGGCAGACGTGCGGAAGGGGGAACGATGGGCGGAAGGAAGGAGACGGGCGGAAGGGAGAGCGACGGGCGGAAGGGAGTACGACGGGCGGAAGGGACAGCGACGGGCGGAAGGGAGAGCGACGGGGGAAGGGAGAGCGAGGCGGAAGAGAGAGCGACATCGCGGAAGGGAGAGCGACATCGCGGAAGGGAGGGCGATATCGCGGAGTGGAACTCATTGACCATCGCCCGCGCGACCGTCTGGCAGGGCTATTAGGGTTAGATGCAAATTTGACGGATTCAATGACACGTGTTGGCGTCGCGCGAGTAAGTAGATCCGGAGCGGTGCGCAGTCCACGAGCATGTGAGACATGTGGTTTCTCTATGAATGGGGCATTCTAAGTCACATTTTTACACTTGGGTAATCCCATGGTCGCCAAATAGGATGCTGCGTGGAGATGGCCGAGAGTTACGGAGAAGAGGATTTCTACGGAGACAGTTTGGGCGTGGGAAACGGGTGAGCAACATACTCGTCGCCTGTCAATATGCCTGCCAATTAGTACAACTTGGTTTTCAAGTTTACTGACTCTGAACAGTGCTCTGATTGCCCGCTGACCTCCACTCAGTATGACTGGTTTTGTCGCTAGCCAATCATGGATCATCGTCGCAAACACTCCCCTCTTGATCGAGACGGAGTGCACCACTTTGGGTGGTAACATGGTTTTTTGAGAATTCATAGTCAAGAATCTAGAAATTGAAAACAGCCATGTGGAACTCGGGCTTTAAACGGGTGAGACAAGAACCATGTAGGAAAGAATGGCCCGTACATGGTGCGGAGGCAAGTCCGCCTACAGAACAAGGCCCATTTCTCCTGGCCGAATTTCCCAAGGGGGCTGGCAGCAATTTTCCTCCTGGGAGAGTTCCCTAGGATATTTCGCCCAGCATCAACAGTGACTGAGCGGTTGAGATGACTGTAGAGTGAAACCGCCCAATCAGACTCTCAGTCCAGCTTTCCTCGAAAATGGTCAAAGGGAAACCGAGAATGTCGACAGTCAGTTGTTGATTGGTGGTGAATATGTGGCTTATGTAGGTTGCGGCGTTTATTCGAATCGGTCTGACGGCCCGCAGCGTCAACTGCAAATTACAATTGGCCAGCTCAGCGTTCCCAGAACACAGCAACAGCTTCGCAACAATAGAAGTGCACTACGCGTGTGAAGGTATTCTCGCTACACTGTTCAGAGACTTACAATCAAAAGTATATGCACATAAGGTAAAAACGATGTAATAGTACATGGAACTATCCAGAACAGGCATATGCAAGCGGAAGAGCCTTTTTTGCCAACAAGTCACTCACAAACTCCACCTTTCCCTTCTCAACATCATTACTTCTCCCCACCTTGGCAACGGATGCCGCATGCATTTCCACACAAATCTTCCTGACGACATCGAATCCCTCTTCAGTGAGGGACACTGCTTCCAGAAGCTTCCAGGCCCAGGCCTCAGAAGCATTGTCATAATCCTCGCTGCGCTTGCACCCTATATGACCAGCGATTTCAAAAGACGCAGGGTTCACCAGTGTGTCAAGGAGCTCTTGGCTAATCTCGGCCCTTGTCTGCCTCTCTGCATATCTCTGCAAAGGGAAATGGAGGGGGAAGGGGAAGAATTAGACCAGCTTTAAACAACTGAGCAAAAAGGCATAAAAGTAAAACACCCAACCTTATAATTTGACAGCGTGACACCGTTTCAGGATGAAAAACGCACAGGAGGAAACGACTAACGACACCACGATGGTCAAGGAGAAGGAACGCACCTGTGGAATGAGGAACAGCCGGGTGCCTCTGTCAACGATAAACAAGTTGAAGGGAATATTCCTTTCCTGGAGCTCGCAGCATGCCGCCGCAGCAGCTGACGTCATCTGCTCGAGGCACGCACCCACCTGGAAAACGAGCGTTTTCACCGGGTAATCAGTCAACTCTTCAACCTTGCACCCATTTGTTGAAACTGCAATTTCCTTCGAAGATGCACGCTCAATGGCAAAGGGCAGGTCGAGAAAGTAGGCCTGGAAGTGCAGGTGGTTGATTGTTGCAAAGGCGCCGAGGCTATTGTATCCGATCCTAAAGGCAGGGTCGTTGACTTCCGAGGCTAGCCGGAGAGCCATGAGGAGACTCGGCTCGTCTATACGTTGGGGAATTCTGTCGAGAACGCGGGGAACCAGCAGCACGTGGCCGTAGTCAATGGGAGACACCTGAGGGTAACAAGAACAAACACACACGGAATGAGTAAGCCCACAACTCCTGAACGAATGTTCACAAGCATGCAATTCCACTGAGAGGCTGCTTTCGCTGGACCTAAGTGACATCAACAAACCTTAAAACTTGGAGGGAGATTTTTTTTTTTGCTGGAAACAGAATCTCAAGAATTGGATTACAATCTATGCTTACATTGATGGCTACGATGCTGGGGCTCTCCTCCACAACCGCCTCTTTATGGAAGAGGCTCTCCTCTTCCCCGCCTTCTTCAAAACGGAAGAGCATTTCGTTCTGGCCGACCTTGGTGAAGTTGAATTTGGAGGGGTCAAACGGCTGCAACACCTTGTCCATAGGGAATTCGGAGGGGCGCTTCTTGGAGTGCCGCCCCTCGTTCAGCTGCGCGATGAAGCCCAGACGTCCCTCGATAACCTACACCATGAACAACGAAATAACCACATTTTTTAAAGTCATTGCAAAAAACCGGAAAATGCTTCTTGCACATTCACTTCATGTTTCCCTACGTACAGCAGTCTGCACTTTTGGATGCAATGCGTTGATCTGCTTCTTCCATTGGACATACCTTTGACTGGCACGCCGTCACGTCGTAACGGAACAACCCTTCCTGGAACTTCCTGTCCCACTGAACACGGCAGGAGGAGAGAACATCAGGGAAGGGGAAAAGGAGGGGGAAGGGTGGAACAACAATATCAGGTCAGGACAAAACAGAACAGACCTCACTAAAGTGAACGAAACATGTATGCTTCAGGACCGCCAAATACGACGAGCTTGCAGGAGGTCTTACCTCGGATGTGATGTGCTTGCGAAGCGAGAAAGCCGGCGTGTCTTGGTCGTCGTCGTGAATGTCGCTCGCGCCGCTGGACGACAGCGAGTCATCGTCCGACGACGACGACAGCGACTCGCGGAAGGACAGCAGGTCGTCGTACGACGCGAAGCTCGAGGTGCTTTCCGAACGCCTGGATCCCGAGTCTAGAAACCCGGGCTGGAAGCAGCCTGGAACCCCGTCCAGCTCCAAGTTGGTGCACGGACGCTTCGCGTACGCGTACAGAGGCATGCGAGCACCTGGAGATCAAGACATGGAAGCAAGAGCACGGAAAGTGAAGACACTGGGAGTTCTTAAAAGCGGGCACCAGATGAAGACATGGGAGCAAGAGCACGGACGCTTCGCGTACGCGTACAGAGGCATGCGAGCACCTGGAGTTACAGGCACAGAATCAGCATGCAACAATGCTGAAACAGAGTTAGTAGGAGAAAGGATATCAAGCCTCTGAACGTGGGGTCTGGACTGGAGCATCACGAGAGAATCCGAGCGCGAGAGTAAACCAGCGAACGAGAGCAGGCTGTAGGGGAGAGCAGCGTGTAACGAGACTCCTCCCTGAGGGGGGAGTCTGAACGTGGGGACTGGAGGTGGTATCGCGGGAGGTGAAATCGAAGGGGGGTAGCAGAGCAGGCATTCAGTGAGCGGCGAGTGCATCGGGTCGGGAGGTGGGGACGTACCAATGGTGCAGCAGGTATTCAGACAGCGGTGACCGCAGCCCGCGGGCTGGTCCCCCTCCTGGTTAGTCTTCGTCAGCATCTTGACGAGGAATTTTGGGATGGACGACGACGAATGAGCCGCGACTGACTCCCCCACTTAACAGGTAAGCTGACTCCCCACTTAGGCTGTTCCTTAACAGGTCACCTCCTTAAACTGCACCTCAGGGAATCCCAAGCAGGCTAAACAGCGACTCGAACGCCTAAAGCTGCGGTTCAGTCTGCTACGAACACGGGGAGGGACGCCGCTACCACTACTATTCCTGACAGAAAAAAGGATGTCTGACGGATCGCGAGCCGAAACGGGCCCAGACACAGCCCTGGAACGTGTGTGCGTAGTAGTAATGGTTTTCCCGCGTTATCCGCTGAAACGCGGTAGCCAATGTGTTGGAGCGACTGACGGCAGTGCAATCGCGAGTGACCCACTCACTGGGGAGTCACAAGCAGCCGCTAATCTGAGTAACGCGCAGTCCTCTCTCCGGATCTGCCCGGCAGAGTAGCGGATCTCTCCGGATCTGAGTAACGGGCCGTTGATCACGGCGACGAGAATCGCAGACGCGGCGGCGATGGCTGGGCGTACTCGAGTGAAAGGGATCTCAACTGAAGCGTCAGCAGCACCTCCGAATGTGACTTGTTGCACTCACCAGGGAGGTCAAATTGAAGGTTCGGGAAAGCATGATGTTGGTGAGCGGGAGAGTACGGGGAAGAGCGGGGGAATGTTGTGAGAAACGAGTGGATGTCGGAGACTGTGGTTGCTGCTGGGATGTGGATGGAACGAGTGGATGTCGGGACGAGCGGCGGTTGGTGGGACGATCCCGTCAAATCCGGTGGCAGAAAACATAACGCAGTAGCGGTACGTCCAACTACTGTACGTCGCGTAATGGATCCTATTTAGCCGTTGGATCATCATCAAGCACCGCTCCACAAGATGTCGAGTTTTGTCGAGTAAGTGCACAATTTGCACGTCTCGCGTGGGCTCGTTCATTTGATTGGGGCCACTCATTCTCGCCACTTGGCCGGGCAGACAGTCCATCGGAGGTCCGGTAAAGCCGAGCGGGCGCTGGTCGTGCAGCCCGAGCGACAGGGCGGGCTGCAGTGTCCGAAAGTGACATGCAAGGACATGATTCTCGACATGACGGTCAAGAAATGTCCTTACATCTAACCGTCCGAATTGACATCGGAGAGCTGACATTTGTCTACACATCCCTCAACGTTTTGTTGTGGGATGTCGACGACAATTGGGCATCCACTAAAGTCGAGCGTGCGCAACTCTACCGGCCACAGTGGTGGCCTTTAGTCTCCAGGCGGGAGGGAGGGTTCCAACACCACTAATATGTGAAGGATACGAGTTCGTTTCTTCTACGCGATCGCTCAGCTTCATCCGCTTAGGGCGTGTAAAATCGCCAAACCCAAAAAATCGGCACAATTCGGACGGGCAATTTTGGCGAAAGTAGCACACTCTATATGCCAACCAGGTCTACCTAGACCCCATTTAGAATTCCAGATTTAGAGGTTTTTCATAATACCAAATCATTATCATTAGAGAGACATAAACATGGTACGTGTGTGGAGGTACCATAGAACGTTAAAATTGCGACTGTTCGTGATACATCTGTACTTCAACACACCTGCCCGAATTTGGGAGGGGAAGGGCGGGAAAATCGAGTGGAAAGGACGCGCGCAAACGAGGTCGATCCAATTTAGAGAGGATCCGACGTGGCGAGGTCGCGATAATTTGGGTCGACGCAATTGAGATAAACGAGATTTTCGCCGATGCGCGTCATTTCGCCCTGTAAAAGTGACAACACGAAGTCGACCAATCCGTCGACTTTCGCGAAAGAAATGTCGACCAAGATGGTCGACGAAAATCCGGCCAAAAGCAAATTTTGCTTGTGTGCGGGGATTTTACACGCCCTTAGGGTACATTCTTGCCTCGTGTCTGACATCAAGTCATCCGCCCTTGGAGGCTCGGAAGACCCGAAGTGGCTCGAAATAGGGGCAAATCAACTTGGGAAGAGGCGAATCAGAGACTAAGGGCGGATGACCTGATGTCAGACATGAGGCAAGAATGACCCTTAGTGCAATCAGTGCACAAGAATATCAACACTTTTCTCAACAGATACAAACAACCTCTAAAAGAATGAAGCATTGGCTGAATGAACGGTTCATCAAGGCACATGGCAGACAAAAGAGGATTTGGCATCTGTTTGATTTCTATTAGAAATATATTTGGCCAGATGCGTGATTAACCCCAATGCCATGAAGTTGCATTTTTTTTAATCTACTAAGATAATTACTAAATAAATCTGTTGTGCTGGTGAAAAGACATGGGCGGTTAGAGTCTATGATCGAAGGAGAGCGCCAGTCTCCCTCCTAGGCGGAGGATAGGTGAAATCAAACGTACTCCACTCGGCTGGCCTGAATGACGAGCTCTAATAGCCTGATGGAGGTCCAAAATAGTCGACCATTCACATGCACTAAGCAATGTACATGTTTTCCCGAGCTCTAGATACTATTTCAGAAATATAACTACAAATCCGCGCTATTCATAATCAATCAACTACAATTATTTGGTCAAGAATGAAACATCGGAATGGTTTGACTAAAGAATGAGGGTGATACAAATAGCAACCCTAAAAGGGTTGTACCCCCTATAGCTAGCCTCACTACAGCCTAACACAGAAACATGCAAATATGTTTGACACGCCCCCATAGGCTAAGTGAGGGATAGCCAGGACAACAAGTGGTCACAAGACCAGTCAAGAAAACAAACAAAACAAAGCTCAGGGTGGATCTCAAGATCACTAAACAGTCCGAGCACAAGCAAGCGGCCACAAGGCCAGTTAGAGTACAACAAGTACAAGACGAGATCGAGTGGCAAGTAAGTGAGGCAGAGTAGGCACAAGGCCAAGAGCAGAAACGTTGATGATCACTAGACCCAAGGGTCAAATATCAGCGGTGTTGGCCTCAGAGGCCACGTAAGAAAGGCGAAGCAGACCACGCTGCTGCAACTCTCGCACAAGAAAGTAACGAAGAGCAATGTGCTTCGTTCTGCTCTCGAGTCTCTGCTCCTGACACAAGGCAATCATGGCCTTGTTGTTAACGAACAGAACCGGTGCAGAACGAGGCCGCTCACCCAAGTCAGTGAGCAAGTAGGTCAGCCACCGTAACTCCTGCGCAGCGATAGCCCCAGCGTAGATCTCTGCCTCACAACTGGAGCAGAGCACAGAAAACGAGCGAGTGGACCTCCACGAGACAGGGCCAGTGCCGAGGGTGAAAGTGTAGCCTTGTGAAGACCGGGAAGTCGCCTCGTCGCCGGCCCACGAAGCGTCTGAGTGCCCTGTGAGCACAACTGGACCCTGTCCCCCATGCACAAGCCCCAAGCCTGATGTACTGGCCAAGTAGCACAGTACCCTCCTAGCGGCCCGCCAGTGCTCAGGGCGGTGTCTCCCGGGCGCAACGTAGCAAGCTAGGATGCTGAGAGGGTACGCGAGGTCAGGCTGAGTGCACGTCATCAGGTACATGAGGCAACCCACAAGCTCTGGATACGGATCAGTAGGCTCTACGGACTCGTTCGAAGGTGGAGCTGAGAGCGTCTGGCTCGTAGGCAAAGGAGTGGGCAGTGCTGAGGAGAACTAAAAGCTGAAGTGCTGCACCATGTGTGACTGAGTCAGAGTGATGGTGCACGCTGCTCCATTCCAAGTGATCTGCAAGCCAAGATAGCTTCGCAGTTCACCTAGATCAGTGTTAGCGTGAATGGAGATGGGGCCCCGCCCTTGCTTGGGCAACGCCGACATCCTCGTCGGGTGCACGGGAGAAGCAACCGATTGTTGACAGTGAGGGAGCTGCTCGACGGGCTTCGCCGAGCTGCAGGGATCACTGTGGTGTCGCCGTCGACCAGGGGTGCTCGACGGCCTTCTTCTGCGGGGCAGTAGGACAAGGTGGTGGTCCACCTGCACAAGACTGTAGCGGGGCCGGAGCCGTCGACCAGGGCAGTTCTACGGCTGCAGCTGGCCAAGCTGGTCGACGGGCGGGCCGTCGACCAGGAGGAGCGGTTCGATGGGGAGGTCGACGGAGTAGTCCGTCGACCTGACATGTGAGCAGCAGTCGACGAGGGGCGCTCGGCGACAGCAGCTGACAGTGCTGGTCGACGGAGGGGTAACAAATTGTACAACACCTAGACTAACATATAGAAACTATATAAATATAGTTTGACACAAGGCGCGCTATGTGGCGAGAGGCTTCAGTCAGCGAGAGGGGGTAGACTTCTTCCAGACCTTTGCTCCCACCCCGAAGATGACTACTCTTCGGGTGTTGTTGCATATTGCAGCCCAGCGCGACTACGAGTTGCACTCCTTGGACTTTTCGACTGCGTTCCTTCAGGGGAGCCTGCACGAGCAGATCTGGCTGCGTCGTCCGCCTGGCTTCACTGGCTCTTTCCCACCTGGGACCCAGTGGCAGCTGCGTCGACCAGTCTACGGCCTGCGCCAGGCTCCACGTGAGTGGCACGACACACTTCGCTCGACCCTTGCAGCGCTTGACTTCTTTCCGTCGTCTGCCGACCCGTCACTGTTCGTCCACCGTGGCTCGACCCCGTTCTTTGTCCTGGTCTACGTTGACGACCTGGTCTTCGCCACTCCCGACCGACGCGTGCTGGCCTCCGTGAAGGAGGAACTGCAGAGGAGACACACTTGCACTAACCTTGGTGAGCTGCAGCACTACCTTGGCCTGCAGATTACCAGGGACAGGGCAGCTCGCACCATTACGCTGACTCAGTCGCATATGGTCGAGCAGATCCTCACGCGGTTTCGCTTCCCGTTCTCCAAGGTACAGCTCACCCCTCTTGCTGTGGACCATGGGCTCACGGCTCCACCTTCGGACGAGTCATTTGAGTCCAGTGGTCCATATCCTGAGCTGGTGGGTTGTCTCATGTACCTGATG